AATCGGACTTTATTATTATGAGGTTATTGCTGTTCGTTTAAATCAAAAATTTTATTATATTTATATGCAACAATAGGACAAAAACAATTAAAACAGGATCCTGAACAGCTTAAGGGGACATTGAGAATACCGGACCACTGAGAAAACCGGACATAACCCTCGGTCCGGAAGCCGTACGGTTTTCTCAACTTTCACTGTATAACTTCACAGTTTGTACAAATTAATATTTGAAATTCTCAATTTCTTTTGTTCTCAAATTCATATGCTTCATTTGGAATCCTGAAATTTTGAATTTGTGAAACAAACAAAACCACATTACATGTACTTGAAATACGAGCTTATCGCTTTTTAAAGGCACATCAATCTTTTTTTTTCTTATGAAGTGCAAACAATAGTTTTGTAAGGTTTAAATAATTCATTAGTTTAAGAGAATGATTGGTGCTTATTCATTCAAGTGTTAGAAAGGATTGTATTACACACTAATCGTTTCATGATATGATCTTATCCCATCATGCCTTTTGGACTACTTATCATTAAATATTTCATAATTCCTACTTTTTCCTGGAGGACAAGTTATGTTTTTTCCAAACAAATAAATAAACCAAACTAAACTTAATAGTTCGATGCTAGGACGATACGCAATATGCAAATAGTCTAGTAATTGCAATAAATCTAGGTTGGCTTTATAAGAAATAACATTTCTATGATTTTATGTTAAGCGTTCTTCATTATTGATATCTATCCTATCAATTCTGATTTTCTTAAAGATCATGTATGCTGTAATTAAGGCTGTATACCACACTTTAAATTATAATAATTTATAATATAAATGTATATAATTATGCTTATAAAACGATTTTTAAGCATCGAAGAATATGTAATATATGTACTACAATTATTTGTACATATTGTATGCATTCATTTCTTATTGAAAAATTTGACTTAGACTTTATAGAAAATATTTTTATTACCTCCCTTTATTTACATGAAATGTTAAATTCGGTAATATCTTTATAAATATTGTTGTTTTTTTGGAACTTACAAAATTGATAAATCGTAATTTGGGCATCATATTTATGATATAAAAATCATAAATAAATTGTGTTACAGGAGCTTCAGATAATTCTAAACTTATTAAATCCGGTATATATCTGTTAAAACTAACACTGTTGTACTTACAAAATGGCGGACGATATGATACCACAGCAAGATCATGTTTTAAAGCCTGAATCTCTCCGCAGAATACGATAAAATGTAAATATTTTTAAAAACTCCGAAATTGTACTTTTAATTATTATTTTACTTATTACTGGTAAACATACTTTAGCCGTCTATTTTTTAAGAATACAAACAGTGATAACTTTAGCATTTACATTGATATGTAGATAATTAAAATTAAACTAATTTTGATATGCTTTTAGTTAGGTATTATATCAGAATATATAAGACATCTTTAAAAGTTAAGAGGTTCATTCATTTACACAATTACACAAGAAAAGGGGCAAAAGGGTGAAAAAGAAAATAGTAAATAAACTGCTTTGGTAGCATTTTTCTCTGCATGTACTATTTAGATATCAAACAATTCAATAAGTTTTATCCAGCAATTTTCAAATTCTTCTAATGTATCATTTTGTAACGCAACAAATCTTTCAATTTTTTTATCTGTTTACTTATATCTGGAGTTTGTTATTTTAATTTATTGGTATAAATGTAATATTTTTAAAAAGAGCAAAATATACGATGTTTTCTTATCTTTAGCAAGAAAGAAAGATGTAAAATTGTCATACGTAACATTTATTGCTATTTCATTAAGCCATTTGAATAAATTATTCCAGAATATTTGTACCGTTTGGCAGTCCCAAAATAGGTGCTCTATACTTTCTACACCAATACAGTAATTCTAATTATTGCTATTTTTTTATTATTTATCTTTTTATTTTTATTTTGTAGATCTAATTTTATTAATTTATTTCAACGTATAAAAATCAAATTATAACAAAGATATTAGGTCTATCTTAAATTTGATTTATATTAAAGTTTGTAGGTGGCCTAAAGGATTTTTGTAAAAGTATCACAATGGTGTTTTTAAATCATGATGCAACAAAAAATAAATATGTTTTTGTTGTTGTCTTTGTTGCTAGTAGTATAGGGGTCTCTTTGGCGCCACGAGTGCGCATGCGCGGCGGCCATGTTGTTTTCTATTAATAGTAACTCATTTGCATAGAAGAAATGACCTCACTACACAGGCGCGGCGGCCATGTTGAATAACAGACGCGCGGCGGCCATTTTGAATTCTATTTTAAGACTGACATCATCACGTTATAAATAGAAACGCAAATAAAAAAATATCTCCCGGAAGTATACGGAGCTGACTCGTATACACGATTTAGGGCTTGAATCGCGGACATTGAGGGTCAGGTCCTCGGCCCTAGACGGAGAGATAATTACCATTATGACAGATAAAAGAAATGTTTGTAAATAGATACGTACTTAACATTTTAATTTATAAAAAATAGTTTTTTAATAGGTTCAAAATAATATTGATACAAATATAACTCGTTTACTTACCTACATTTAGTAAGGAAATGACTGTCATAGCGTAACGTTCTTGTAGACTGCGCATGATCTATTTTTAGTCGCGGTATTTCACAACCACCAGGAGCTATTTCATCAGCCCCACGCGGGTGTCAATGAAAGAAAAAGGCATTAAGTACAGTCGCCGCTCAGTCTAGATTCACAATTTCTAGCGGCACTATGTTGAACAAAAACCCTTTATCCTTCGTTACTAAATATAACTTTTTATTAATCACAAAAGAATCTATTATCCTTTCAAACGCAGCGACCGTCAAGTACAGTCGCCACTTAGTCTAGATTTACAATACCTAGCGGAACTATGTTGAACAAAAACCCCTTTATCCTTCGTTACTAAATATAGCTTTTCATTAATCACAAAAGATTAATAGAATTGACGGACCTTTTCTGTTACGGTTGATAAACCGGAGGGGATGAATTAATTGAAATATGGACCAATGAAGATGGTTTATTTTTACAACGCATCAATTATACAGATTCTGCCGAACTAAGGCGTGTTTGGTATCAAATGAAACGTCTTAAGCCGCTCTTTATGAATACGGACTAAAATCGAAATTAAAATCACTCATGCGTAAAAATCATTAAAATAACTAAAATAAGCTTACCCCAGTCTTTACTCCTTGCCTATCAAACTATTTATGACAAGTTACTATAGCCTATCGTTTAAACGGTCCAGTTACGACAGGTTTAAACCGGTATTGCTATTTTTGATTAGCCAATGAAATTGAAGAACGAGGTTTTTTAAACCATTTTTTTTTTAAAGTTCATAAAACCCTTAGATTTATATGCCGTTTGAAAGATCTCTCTGCCAGTAGATACAGAAAATGTATTATTATATAGATCTATCTTTTACTGTTTCTGAGATAGGAGAGTTTCAATATGGCAGACAAAATCACTCATGCGGAAAAACGCGCATAACTTTTTTCGTTTATGAACGAAACATAGTCATGTTTGTTATCAAATTGAAGGTCTTGACGAGTACATTCTGACGCTGGCGATAGTAAAGTTCATACTGGAAGTCAAAATCACTCATGCGTAAAAAATATATATTTTGGTTACTAGAGCAACCGAATCCGATATGATTTTTAATTGTTGACTACCAATTGAAAAGAACAGTTCATTACCTTTAATGTACACCCCATTGTCGATTCGATTTTCAGCCGTTTTTGAGTTATGACGCAAGAGCGATTTTAGACTCTAAATTGCGAAAGTCAATAAAAACGTTACAACTGTTTTCCAATCGATTCGTCTCGTCGCGCTGATAAAGAAAATATATAGTTTTATGGGTTTATCTTTTACCGTTTTTGTGTAATTCGAGTTTAAAGTCACCGGAAGTGACGTCACAGAAATTTCAAAATCGATTTCTTCGTTATTACTTTGACCGAATATATACGTGTTTGGTATCGTTGGAAAGCATTTTACCACACCTGTTACCTGACGCTATTTTAAAAAGCCATTGGACCGGAACTGAAATCACTGAAGCGTAAAAACGTGTTTTCTGTACCACGCCTGGACCGATCTTAGGCGTGTTTGGTATCAAATGAAATGTCTCAAGCCGCTCTTTATGAATACGGACTAAAATCGAAATTAAAATCACTCATGCGTAAAAAATCATTAAAATAACTAAAATAAGCTTACCCCCAGTCTTTACTCCTCGCCTATCAAACTATTTATGACAAGTTACTATAGCCTATCGTTTTTGGTCCAGTTACGACAGGTTTAAACCGGTATTGCTATTTTTTTTATCAACCAATTAAAATGGAGAACGATGACGTTCTTACCAAAAAATAGATATGACTTGCCCAGTGGGAGAGTATATAAGAGAGCACTTTAGCCCCTTTCGTCATTCTGACTTCAGAACTCTAGCGGCGGGTGCATTGGCAACCAGAAACACTTAATGATTGGCTATGAAATGCGTCAAATCTTGGAAAAATGTTGACGTTGAGGAAAGTGTTTCATTTCGAAACACATCCCTGCATTATCATTTAAACTTTATCAAATGGATAGGGATTATTGTGATTGCCTTGATATGTACTATACCTGTTTTCTTGATTTACGTGTACTCGGATTGTGGTGTACCAGCCAACGATGGAAACATACGACCAAACTTGAACCAAACTGTATGTACTTTTGTTGAGCAGTTTCATCTTCAAGACAATTTATATGCTACAGTGTGCAGTCAGGCTAATTATGTATTCCTAGATATTAGAGAGTTCATTAATGGAACGGCTACAATTCGCGGCATAGACTTGAACCTACTTCAGTGGATAAGCCTAAAGAGGTTTACTTCAAGTATAAACAAGGTCATGACACTACGGAAAGAGTAAAGTATAATAAGTAAATACATATTTCCGTTTATATTGTAGCGGAGAGATTACATGAATTAAGAGTGTAATTCTTTTAGTCACCGCCACCGCCGCCGCTGCCGCCGCCACCGCCGCCGCCGCCACCGCCGCCACCGCCGCCGCAACCGCCACCTCCACCGCCGCCGCCGCCCACCTCCACCGCCGCCATCACAAAGAAAACTGTCTACAGCGTAAGAAGGATGATCATATCAATAGATGGGAAGAATACCGCAGTGTTACTTCTGTGACCACTTTAATAATGAATCAGTGTTCTGTTTGCCAGCAATCTTTCTCAAGACGTGACGTCATGCTGAGAACATCAACGTTATGTACTGGGAGTGATGACACTGTTAAAAGTGATTCTTTATCCGCCAACAAAATCACCCTCATAGGGACACTTCAGAAAAGATGAATTTTCAACACCCATTTTTCCATGGTCGTCTCCGGGCCTAGTGGTAGTGGAAAAAACTGAATGGACTAAAACACTGCTTTTATCCGATCTAGTAAATCCGCCACCAGAGCGCATCAATATGCGTGTTACGGGCAATGGCAGCCTCTGTACGATGAACTTCAACGTAGAATACCTGGATAGAATTTGTACGCAGGTATCCCCGACTACTTGAATAGTCAAGAGTATATTAATACCCGTAAAAGGAACTTGATTGTTTTTTGACGATTTAATGACAGAAGCCAAATGCGATCCAAAGAATTGCTGATCTTTTTACCAAGGGCCAGTCACCACAGAAACATATCTTTTTATATCTCACCCAGAATTTATTTCCTCAAGGAAAAGCTTGCAGGGACATATCTTTTAAATAACCCAGTACCTGATATTGTTCAATAATCCTACCGACAGACAGCAAGTGGCGAACATTGGCCAAAAGAATTTATATCCCACATCAAGTTGCCATTTTTATGAAACGGGTTCGAACCCAAGCTACGTCGAAAACGTTAAACGGTTTATTTGGGCTAATAGATCTTTTAAATTTTCCAGTACAACCTGAACATAATCGTTTACGTAATGACATTTTTGCGAGGCCAACAATCCCCTGAACTTAGAAAACGGATGGATAAACCTCCGGAGAAACCAGTTACACCGGTGGAAGGTAATTCGTTTGACCCACGGACACGATAAAATGGATGATGATGATTGATGATGAAGATGCAAATTTGATGATTGAAGCATGCAGATTTGATGATACTTTGATAAAGAGCATTAGAGGGTGGTGATAGGAGGTGTAAAAGACAAGCTTTTTTTATGCGGACCTCCTGGTTTAAGCGTAAATAAAAGAATTAGCTCAAAAGAAGAACGCAAACGTTCATGACATATGGGATAGAAGATTTTCAAAAGCCTTTACGAACATCTTGTAAAGAACAATTTAAAGACGGGCTAAACAGTTACATAGATCAAGAGTACTCTTTTGATGAGGCTTATGCTCGCGCACTGCCTAATGATGCGTTGCCACATTTGAGAAAGAAGATGAGACAAAATTATGCCCAGTTTCTGATTGACTTTTACGCATTACAAGACGGACCCCACTCAGCAACAAATTTTCCAGTCAGCGAAGAAACTTAGACATCAGCACGAACATGACCATTGAAGAATTCAATCCGACAAAAGCGTTAAACTTAGAAAAGACCGGTTTGAGGCGTTATGGCCTAATCACGACATCAAGGATTTTAATGGTGAGAATAATAAAGATGATGACAATGAAGATCACACAATCAAGATGGAAAATAAAAATATTCGTAAAAAGATGATTTTGCTCCCTTTACTTTCAAAACACAACAATGGGTTCCATAGAGGTGTACGATCATAAACAACAAAAATGGGTGCCGTATATAAATGACCCAGAATAAATGGTATCAGCATTTTTAAAGATTTGAGAGACGGTTACGTGACACCCGATCATAGAGGCCGCGTACATTATAGGTAGCGGTAATTCGCGTAGAAGGCCTCGTGACACTAGAAACGAAGCTTCAAAGAAACGGAAGAAAAAGCTTTAAAGAAACGGAAGAGAAGCTTCAAAATGGCACCAACGCCCTGTGGTTAATTTATGGTTAGCCCCGTGGCTCAAGCGGTTGAAATGGCAAAGTCGGAAGTAAAACGATTACTTTGGGATTCCAATTATAGAAACGTCGGACCTAAGAAGCGTTAAAACGGATATTGACTGGACTCGGTTCACTTTCTAAAATGGATAATTACCAGCTAGAAAATATATTGAAAAGATACCCAGTGACAGTGTGTGCGGCTGATGAAATTCGTAAACAAAACGGAAGATTTGTTGATTTCAAACACAGTATTACGAGTAACGGACCGGGAAAAAACATTGGGTAGTTTTCTATTTTCCTAGGACACGGACCTTACGAATATTTCGACTCGGTTGGAAAAGTCCAGAAAAAGCTATGGCGTTGGGGATTTGATAAGATACTTAACAAGAAAAAATCTCAGAAACTTCCGGCCAACCCTACAACAACTTTCGTCTAATGTGTGCTGGCCTCTACTGCGCATACTATGTCATAAAACGATATCCAGGGAAAGACTTTGAAAAACATCGTCAAAGAATTTGATTTCCGTATCAGAAAGAAGCACAAATGATCGTTCAGTAGTGTCTAAAATGAAGAAACTAATTAGAAAAAAGAAGTGACAAAAACAAGTATATCACTAGTTTTTAAAAACAATGTTCTGTATGAAAAATAAAAATATAAATTACCATGTGTTTTGTTTTTATTTATTCCCATAAGAATAGCCTTATGCTACTGCTATTTGCCCCGTAATACAAGACAACTAGTCCCCGCCTCTCTCTGTTTAGTCCAATCATGTTGCAGTTTTTAGACTAATGAAAATGTGGCAAGTACTGTCTTATCAGTGACTAATCAGAACGCTTCTTTTTACTCCATTTATTACGATTAACCGTAGCGATTTCATTCATTTCCGATTTTTAGATTGCGAGGAGTAAAGACTGGGGTAAGCTTATTTTAGTTATTTTTAATGATTTTTACGCATGAGTGATTTTAATTTCGATTTTAGTCCGTATTCATAAAGAGCGGCTTGAGACATTTCATATTTGATACCAACACGCCTAAGATCGGTCCAGGCGTGGTACAGAAAACACGTTTTTACGCTTCAGTGATTTCAGTTCCGCTCCAATGGCCTTTTAAATAGCGTCAGGTAACAGGTGTGGTAAAATGCTTTTCCAACGATACCAAACACGTATATATTCGGTCAAGTAAAAACGAAGAAATCGATTTTTGAAATTTCTGTGACGTCACTTCCGGTGACTTTAAACTCGAATTACACAAAAACGGTAAAAGATAAACCAATAAAACTATATATTTTCTTTATCAGCGCGACGAGACGAATCGATTGGAAAAACAGTTGTAACGTTTTTATTGACTTTCGCAATTTAGGGTCTAAAATCGCTCTTGCGTCCATAACTCAAAAAACGGCTGCAAAATCGAATCGACAATGGGGGTGTACATTAAAGGTAATGAACTGTTCTTTTCAATTGGTAGTCATAACAATTAAAAATTCATAATCGGATTCGGGGTTGCTCTAGATTTAAACGCAAAATATATATTTTTTACGCCCATGAGTGATTTTGACTTCCAGTATGAACTTTACTATCGCCAGCGTCAGAATGTATTTTCTCGTCAAAGACCCTTCAATTTGATAACAAACCAATGACTATGTTTCGTTCCATAAACGAAAAAAGTTAATGCGCGTTTTTCCGCATGGAGTGAAATTTTGTCTTGCCCATATTGAAACTTCTCCTTATCTCAGGAAGAAACAGTTAAAAGCATTAGATCTATATAAATAATTACAAATTTTCTGTTATTCTACTGGCAGAGATTCTTTCAAACGGCCATTATAAATCTAAGGGTTTTATTGAACTTTAAAAAAAATGGTTTAAAAACCTCGTTCTTTTCAATTTCATTGGCTAATCAAAAATAGCAATACCGGTTTTAAACCTGTCGTAACTGGACCGTTTTAACGATAGGCTATAGTAACTGTCATAAATTAGTTTGATAGGCAAGAGTAAAGACTGGGGGTAAGCTTATTTTAGTTATTTTTTAATGATTTTTACGCATGACGTGATTTTAATTTCGATTTTAAGTCCGTATTCATTTTAAAGAGCGGCTTAAGACGTTTCATTTGATACCAAAAACAAGCCTTAGTTTCGGCAGAATCTGTATAATTGATGCGTTTGTAAAAATAAACCATCTTCATTGGTCCATATTTCAATTAATTCATCCCCTCCGGTTTATCAACCGTAAACAGAAAAGGTTTCCGTCAATTATTATTTATCTTTTGTGATTAATAAAAGCTATATTTAAGCTAACGGGAAGGATAAAGGGTTTTTGTTCAACATAGTTTTCCGCTAGGTATTGTAAATCTTAGGGGCTAAGTTTGGCGACTGTACTTGAACGGGTCCGCTGCGTTTGAAAAGGGATAATAGATTCTTTTTGTGATTAAATTGAAAAGTGTATTATTTAGTAACGAAAAGGATAAAGGGGTTCTTTTTTGTTCAACATAGTGCCGCTAAGGTATTGTGGGAATCTAAGGACTGAGCCCGGCGACTGTACTTAATGCCTTTTTCTTTCATTGACCACCCGCGTAGGGGGCTGATGAAATAGCTCCTGGTTTGGTTGTGAAATACCGCCTACTAAAAATAGACATTCATGCCGCAGTCTCACAAGAACGTTACGCTATGACAGTCATTTCCTTACTAAATGTAGGTAAGCTAAACGAGTTATATTTTGTATCAATATTATTTGAAACCTATTAAAAAAACTATTTTTTTATAAAATTAAAATGTTAAGTACGTATCTATTTACAAACATTTTCTTTTATCTGTCATAATGGTAATTATCTCTCCGTCTTAGGGCCGAGGACCTGACCCTCAATTCCACGATTCAAGCCCTAAGATCGGTTTCGTTTTATATATTTTATTTTTGCATCAATATAGTTTTTTTTTAAAATAGGTTTTCAATTCGTGTATGGATAAATCTATATGATATTTAAATATTGTTATAAATTAACTTTTTTATTATAAACAATTTTCATTTACTTTATTACTACTTGATTACGTTTTGATAATAAGAAATAAATTTTTATTTCTTTGTTTTATCTTGTCATCTCTCCGTTTAGGGCCGAGCACCTGACCCTCAAATGTGCGCGATTCAAGCCCTAAATCGTGTATACGAGTCAGCTCCGTATACTTCCGGGGAGATATTTTTTTATTCGCGTTTCTATTTATAACGTGATTGATGTCAGTTCTTAAAAATAGAATTCCAAAATGGGCCGCCGCGCCTCTGTTATTCAACATGGCCCGCCGCGCCTGTGTAGTGAGGTCATTTCTTCTATGCAAATGAGTTACTATTAATAGGAAAACAACATGGCCGCCGCGCATGCGCACTCGTGGCGCCAAAGAGACCCCTATACTACTGTTGCTTTTGATATAGGGGTGTTGCAATTTTGTTTAACCGCATGGACACTGAACACTAGGACTCTAGACTAAGATTTATTAGAATACAGTTTTTGAAGTTCACTAGATGGTATCAAAAGAAAAAAAAATATCTTTTTTTCAAAGTTACCGTAGACGTTAATTTTATATAACAAAACTGATGGTAAATTTCAATAGAGGCTGCCGTCAGTAAATAAAGATAAATTGTGCGATTTACATACTTTTGAAACAGAACTAACGAGGTCTTTGGAATTCTATTTCAAATTTTCATTGTATGTTAATACTAAATAAGTATTTACGGACATTGTCACAAAACAAATATTTGGAAATCCAATTACAGAAAAGTCTAAATGTTTTTGTTTTTTTTTCAAAGTTTTTTTTGATAATGATCGTGTCGCAAAAATATAATAAATATTTGAATTTTGTTGAATGTTTAACAAAAATATTCTATCTTCGTTTCAGTTTTTCGTTGCTAATTATTCCAGTTACGCAGACTTGTTAACGAGATGATCTGATTTGCCACACATTTTTTGGGGGGGATTTTTCAATCAATTAGAGTTGATAAACGTGATTTGTTCCTTGCTTTTAAAAAACATACAGTCTGTGCATAATATGGAAAAAAAAAACGTGCCTATATTTCTGACGTTTGATTAAGACGAAATGTGTGAGCTTATTTTATATCTTATTTTATTTATTTATTTATTTTACAGGGGGTGGCTTCTTTTATCAAATTCATATTATGTTCGACATTACAAATATTATATCTTTATTTCTATGAAAGCTGGACCAATCTCAGCTAAAAAGAGATAGCATCGGAATAAAAAAATTCAATGATCGCAAAAAACTACATTTTCGACTTTTTTGTAATTGGTTTTCCAATCTTTGGGCGAGCAGAAATTTCCACATGACATGTGATCTCTGATATTGAGTATAATATACGTTTGCCTCTCACAGATGTGATTAGTAGTCGGTCACTTGGGGGATATAATTTGGTAATAACTGGTTAATTATCAAGAAAAGGTAAGGTGGGTTAACAGTCAAGATATAACCAAAAATTTGTGAAAATAAAAACGACGTAAAATCATACAGACAAACAACATTTAATCGTAACTATTCCGACTGCCAAACATGTAACTATTATGAAATATTCACATCGAGCAAATAATTATATCAATGTTATTATTGATTTATTGCAATACAAAAAACGTATGCCTATTAGAAAATATTCTGTCTAAATAAATAAGTAATAGCAAAATCAAAGATGATTTTAAGGCTAAATGAAACAGTGATAAAGCAGAATATTCCCTTTGTCATATTATTGCTATATCATAAATGACGGCATATCATTTTGTTCTCCGTATTTGATGCTATACTTTATAAGGTATTATAGATGCTCGTTTTATAACAAGCCACGTAAGAAATACCAACATTAAAGCCGAGAATTTGATTGTTTGCTTTGTTTCATTCAATCCCATGACAAAACGCAACAAAACATCAACTTGAATAAATAGATTTACATTATGTGGCAAATTGCAGTAAAAGCAATAAAACAATTGGCAGAGCGTGATGCTATTAAAATTTATAAAACAACCAGCAAAGCTTTATATTGTTGATAATATTGTTACAAACGTTATATTATTGAAAGTTATAAAACAATAAGCAAAACGTGATGCTTATTAATTTTATTTCATAAATTTAAATCCATTTGAATGGCAGTTTTTTTTCTTTTTTAATAGTTATGTAGTTTTGAAAACACTAACATTGCCAAATATTTAATTCCTCTTCTAGGAAAGGATCAAACATTTAAATTATTAGGAACTGCAATCTGTCGGTGGAACGTATTCCTTCTCGTTTTCTGGCGGCTGAAACTTCGGGAACGGCCACTGTAGCTGTAAAAAAAACATTTTTGAATGACAAAAAATAGATTGTACTGCTAAAAAATGAATAAATATTTGTATCTGAGAAGAGAGAGAAAAGATACAATTTCTGTCTTCTAAGATTTGTATGTACTTTATATGAAATAATTGTAATAGATGTGTGATTTAAAGCGTGAATTTGCTTGCTACCTTCATGTAAGATACATTCTGATTTTTTTGTAAAACAAAAACTAAAAGTAACGTTACACATTATATTTAGATATATATTTTAATACTGCCATAATACAAAAAAAAAGATCTTAAAAATGGCTTTTGAATTCTAGCAAGAATTTGATATATTTCTAAATGATAACATGAGTTAAATCATTTTCATTAAGTACCATGATAAATAGTCTTGGAGATATTTTTGACCATTGTGACGTCAATCATCAAATTTATTTAAACAAATCGAAAATCGTGTATAAAACAAGATTAAGTTACCGGGATGCAGTACTGCTCATTTGTACAATTGTTGGCATGCGACAGAAAGTAGTCCAAATTACTACTCCAGTCAATGTTCTCAAACGCTTGGTGTTTCTGAAAAAAGACAAGGTTTTACAATGTCAGGTAAATAGTAGAGCCGTTTTATTTGGTGCCATATTCTTTAAAAAAAATTGTCTGGGTTTAAAGAAAAAAGACATTGTTATTGTCATATGGCGACTTTCAAAATAAATAACCTAAATATAGTCTTATTACCTGCCCCTAGTTTCTACTTACTGGAATATAGTAGGCAGGGAATCACACTATCAAAGGAAATTAATCAGATCGTTATTGCAAGAAAACATATCAAGCGGGCATCTATTGTTAACCACAAAACTTTAGACGCTTGACTCTAAGTTGACTATCATTAAATGACTAACAATTTATCAACTGTAAAAAGGTTAACAGAAACTGTGCGATTTACTGTAACTCCATTTGATAATGTTGCTCGGAAAAAGTCTGAGAAAGGTTTGAAAAGGCTTATATCAATTGTCAAAAGTCAAATGTAACTAAAGTTATAGAAATGAAAAGAATAAATGCATTGATGTTGACTTGAAACATATCTTTGTGCTCGATTGTATAAAAATTCCGACAACATATTTTGACTACAATCTTGTCCGCCAAGAATTGTCCAGTAATGATTTCATACGCAAAACAATATATGCATTAACCGATTCGGGCACACACACCTATTGTCCCTGGATTGAAAGGCAGACCCTTTGAGCAGTACTTACACAATGTGTAATCGCATCTTCTTCCTTTTATAGAAAACAAATTTACAAGTTGAATCGTATAAACTTGCAATACATGATACAGTGTTTCCGTTTCTACACGGTTATAAGTCGATCGTATAATTAGGAACTAGTATGCTTACGTTTGTCGTATCAAATGGGAAATTGTCCAACATAGGACGTGAAAAGCAGCCCGATAGTTTTATCCTGGGGTAGTAAAACAGGAACGAGTTACACATCTCTTCCTCAGTTGAAAATCCGCCCTAAACCATACAGAAACATAAAATTACCTTTTCAAGTCAACAAATATTCATTTCAAATCTCCATATATTTATTTAAATCTTACATTTATTTATTTCAAACCTACATATATTTATTAAAAATCTACACAAATTCGTGCCATGCAGAGGCATTTTACTACTTATATTTGATAAGACATTAATGACACTGCGCTTTGTAACGTCGCTTTTCTAGGGATAATTATGATGTTTTATAATTTTATAATTTTTTTTATATAACGTCGCTTTTCATTGGATAATCGTGATGTTAATAAAGTTTTATATACACGGCTTCTGTCAATTTATGAAGAAATCTCACTTTCTTTTCTGACTTGCTGTATTATAAATTCATTATAAATATGCCTGACAGGTTGTATGACCGTTTATAAACGGTTGTTTGCAATAAATTTATCGTCTTGCGGCTAGGATCATATTCCTAAACAACCGTTTATACAGGGTCATGCAACTTATAACTAATAATATATACGGCCACTTTCAATTTATGAAACATTTTCAATTTCTTTTTTATAGTAAATGAAGTTTTCTGTGTTATGATTATTGACATGATAAATGACAGTTTAACCGCTGTCTTTAATAAACATTACGCCTAGTGGCTCGTTTTATATATGCCACTAGCCCCTTTTATATAGTGTCTACCTTAAACAAAAAATTTAAAAAATGATCTCAACTTACAAATGTCGTTTTATTTCTGTTTTTTGTATCATATATACAATCCACTTGTAAACTGTCACCCTGCAAAAGGATATTTTAGGTCAGTTAAAAACTCTAAGCTGACAAAACTTAATTTCTCCACCTCAAAAATTATGATATTATTTGGTTACCTGAAACAACCGATATCCGGTTCGGACCCGAATTATAACTTAACCCAACGTTATAAATATATTAACAAACAGTTCGTTTTTTTTCCTCATCATCAAGTGAATGAGATTGAAAATAAACTGAATAAATAAGCTTCTCTCTTTACAGAATAAGAATGTTATTTTATTGCAAATAAATTGTTTAATTGTTCACATGCTATAACAAAATGTATGTTCTTTAAATATGTATCCAAAATTAAGGGGACCTGTTTTGTTTTGAATGTGATGCAATGAATATTACTACTAAAAAACATCTGCGTATTACATAACATACTGTTACAATTTAAATACTCAAATATTTAAAATCCGTCCTATTTCTTGTACATAAGATTATAGTGGGGAATTTCATAGGTAATATAGGCACCCCCTTTTGGGGGAAACGAACGTGTTTTTTTGGAAAATTAAAAGTCTTTAATTTTTCATCTGAAAATTAAAAAGGCCCGGCCCATTTCAGTACCATTTCTTTTAAGTCTAGTTGTTTTATCCGGGTGGGAAAATCGGGATGTCCCCGTGCTGGAGTGTGGCAAATCCCTTTTAATTTCCCCATTTTGCTTTTGGCAAAACCCCCTTTGGGGAAAAAATTACGAGTAACGAAAATATTTAGTTTTGTATCAATAATTGACAGTATTCCTACATGATAAAAGGAGTGACATTTCGAGACAAGAACCGATTGAAGCAAGGCGCATGAGTTATAGAACTTTTGCAGAGGACTAAAAGGTGAAGCTATATGTAAAATATCAAAGCTCTTTATATTATTATGTCAGTAATCATAGACAAACCTAATGATGAAAAAATATTATGTTAAGCTGAAAATATACCACCATAAATGATATAAGATATGGAAATCTGGAGATCCCTCGGGAACAACGTCTTAATCAACGGATACATCAAAATAATGTGAACATTGCAAACTCAGTTTGATATAAACTGTTCATGAGAGATATTATAAAATTTCAACATCACTCACGCCCTGTAGCACCGGCATAAGCGGTATCCAATATGTAAACCTAAAGGTGTTTATTAATACACAGTCTCTTGCTTCTGCATTTTACACTGTTCGGAATATTTGAGAAAAAAAAGCTTGATATGGTCCTTTATTAGTTAGTTTCTATATTAGTTAAACCTCTCTGCTGTATTTTTCATAAAACATATACTACATGTATATTATCTTGCATTTTAATACAATTATTCTATTTTACTTTTTTGACCTAAAAAGGGAATACACTTTTACGATCAAAAGAATTTCAATACCAGATTTAAGCAGTCTTCAGTACAAAATGTCTTGAACACGTAATCTGTCACGCCTGGTGGCACAACCTGAGTGTCGTCTGATACTGTGCCAAGCGTTAACAAACCAGCATCATACCGTCGTAGATTAGATGTTATAGTCAACCGGAAACCAGAGTTGTCGATCAAGTGCGCTTTTTGAGTCGGATTATCGTAATGCGTCTCCATGACAAAGAAAGAATCTTCATCCGGGCCTCCAAACGGAAATCCCACGTGATCAGGAAAATAATATGGCTGCAATTAAAATGACATTGAATTATATATATCATAATTATAGTATCAATGTTTATCATAATCAAAGAATAACAGTAGAAACATATCTAAAACGATTATTTACAGTTTGCATGTTTATTCTTTTCTAGGTAAATGCGATATGTAGAAACTTCTTTCGGTTTATTTTATGTTTAAACCTCAATAGATATGTGGGATCCGCCATTCAAACTTATGTTGAATGCACATGTTTCCACATTAAAAGTTCTCATTTTAACTTCGTTTTAGACTTAAAACCCAATTTTTCAACCTTTACAACGTTATCATACTATATAATATTATATTTATATATACATGTATAATAATGATATATATAAATATAATTAAATGTATAAAGCAGCCTTTATACAAATATGGAACAAGATAAAAAAATAGCCAGGCCTAAACGCACGAAATAAACTTGTTAAAGAAACATGAGAAACTGAATTTGGGTCATTGACATTTGCATGCGTAATGAAAAGAATTAATATGGTCCAATAAGATAAACATATTGTAGAAAGTTGTAAATTACCTCAACCTTTGCTCAATCTAAAATTCGTACTTAATTCAAAAAGTATGAATTCAATTCAATCAGTTTATCTTAAATTATTAATTCTTTGATTGTATCATAAATTCATCAAGGTCATTGGCCATTGCTTTTCAAGTTAAAGTTATACATACATGTATATATATCGAAGTGTTATTTTTATAAGTAACAAAACAATATGTTTGTATAATAACTAAATGTGCCATAATTAGTAGGCGTGGTTTTTCTAGTCCCTTCCATGTTTCTACGTGTCACACTACTGTCATTAAAGACCCTGTATGTTGTATTTAAGGTTGTTACCACAAGTAAGTGAAATTGTATATGTATATAATTATACTTCTAAAACAATCTTCAAATATCGAAGAATATGTAAAATATGTTCCACATTATATGTTATCATTAAAATATATGCACTCATTTCTTATTGAAAAATTTGACTTAGACTTTATAAAAAATAAATTTCTAACAAACTCCCTTTATTAACATGAAATGTAAATTCGGTAATATCTTTACAAAAAATGCTTTTTGGAACTTACAATATTGATAAATCTCCAATTGAGCATTATATTTATGATATTAACCATAAAAAATGTGTTACAGGATCTTTCAGGTTTCAAAATGACGATCTGAATGATATTTTGTTACAATAACTATTGATAAAGCAACGTTTGGATAACTTTTTTAGAGAAGAATGCAAAGTTCCTTTAGTACGTATTGTAAACATATTGTACATCATTTTGCCATAAATTTTGATGTAAAATCAAACGAGTCAAGGTCATCTAAATATAAATGAACCTCTCCCCCAATTGCCCAGACGATGGTCTGTTCGTAACATTGTGGAAGGATTCTGTTCTTGTAACACATTCCTGAAACCCCGTCCCAGCGGTCCGGATCTGCTACTTTACACCGGTACAGAGCAATATGGTGAACATGTTGTTCATTGCCTGGTGTTATGACTGCCTCGAACTGAAATAAATTATTACTGCATTAAACATATAGTAGTGTGTTACCAATTAAAGGCGTTTTTGTAGAAAAATATTTTTGTGCTTCGACTGGGAAAGAAACAAAAATGGTTGTTTTTATTTCAGCTTTTCAGGATGTGTTATATATATACGAAATAGGTCTGCCATATTCGCATACTTGGACCAGATAAGACATGCACTGTCCCAACTCACTTCTTACTAGCATAACCTACATCTCTTATCTTTTCTGTATTCTTAAAATCTATTTCAAGCAAACAGAATTTTTTATACAAAAATATTCCATTTATCAATATTTTGTGATTATGAGACAAAGTTTATTTCAATGTTGATTTATGGTTGAATTTAATTAATTAAAATGTTGCATTATAATTTGAAAGTTGTCGTTTTACCTTGATAATGTGGTGTTTCCCTATCGTTGGTATTTTAAATCCTTTACAGTTGTAGGTTGTCTTGTCACTTGGTACTAGAAACTAAATGACATAACATGATTATCAACATTTGATTCAGTCTAGAATTATTGTTCTGCATAGTTTTGTGTATCATTTTTAATTAACAAAGTGTTTAAGTGAAGGCTGTTTGGTTATACGAGTAGTTTAAATGTATGACCGTTAAACGGATTGATCCCATCTTAATTTACAGAGAAATTTCCTAATATCATTTGCTTTAATCAGTTATATCAAATACTTGCTTACTAATTTTGAGCCATATTAGCACCTAATTAAACATATTTCTAATTTCAAATACATGTAGAACACTCTAGGTCTATTGAAACTATAATGGGACCAATCTCCACTTATTTGACACCATATTAGGATCAAGCTCCGCCTATTTGCAATCGTATAAGGTTCAAACTCCGCCTATTTCCAATCATACAAGGTGCAAACTGTGCCTATTTTAAGTGATATTCAACATAAACCGCCAAGAAACAAACTGCTTTATTTGGACATATTTTCACCAAAGTAGCCTGTGAGCACACTTCATTGTTCTTGTTCTACTTACATTGCCGTTCCGAAAGTCAAAATATTTAACATTGTCAGGTAATTTGGTTTTGTCAGCAGTTTCTGGACTAAGAATGGATGCACTCTTGGTCCCACGTGTTGTGCCGTGATATGTAATTGAGTTATCGTCACTTGGATCATTTTGACCGTATGCATAGATGAGGCGTACTGTGTCTAGCTATTTAAAAAGAACACAAAGGTTTATTGACACAAATAAGATTTGATTTGTATTTTCATACTGTTTTCTACATGTTTAATGTCGTAAGTAACGATGCCAATATCTATAAAAAAAACTTATTTCGTTAGAATAATATTTAATTCAATAAACCTGCCTAACTGTTGATAGCGTATGGCATGAATGAGTCAGTCTTCATTGTTTTAAACGATTTGAATAAAGCAATATGATGAAAGCCTCTGTACTAGCAATTCACGTTTTATTATCGGACAAGAATACAAGACCCAGACTTGGTCAGAACGGCTAAAATAACATTATATGCTAACAGTCGTAACTTGTATAGCAAAACTTGACACTTACTGGAATCACTTTGTCCTCGTCTTTGTCGCACGTGTTTATTTTTCTAACAAATTTCAGTACTGTGCCAAATTCATTCTCTTCGCCATGGAGTAACTCCCAGTCTTGTGATTTGTCTATCACTGGCATACTATGTGCTGTTGTATGGCGATCCTGGGATACATTATAACGAAAATAAGTAAGTTTTGCTTCAGAAATGTTTTCTTTTTCTTCTTTAGAAGTGACAATCATGTGTTAAGTTATTTTTTGATAATAACTTTAAAACATATTGGATGCTTATCAGTGGAAGTAAGTAGCGCTGAATGTTATATTGTTTATAAGGAGTAGTTAAATGTTAACGAAGTGGTATTTTAAATTCCATTAGCCAAAAAAGAGTATACATTCTCTATAACTGAAGTATACACCAACAAAAGGAACCAAAAAAAACTGGTTGAGCCATATTGCCAATGATTACTCTTTCCGAAAATACAAAAATAAAACACGAAGACTTGAAATTGAATTTGTATTTGTGATCAATGTACTGTGAATCCTTTCTTATCTATTTGTACCTTTTTTTACACTGTAACATATTTGCTGTGGAAAAAGATACATTTTGTTACATGGAAGTTTGAATTTTTTTATTTAGATGTCATTCTTGGTCATAGTTCTGTAAGCATGAACTGGTTACCTTATTGTCGGGCATGATTCACTTAAATGTGATATATTACTTTTGCCTTTTTATACTTAGTTTGATTAAATGTTACCATTAACTATTGCTTCTTACAGAAAAATACACCGATCCATTATTCCGGACCCAGCCTACGACAACATCCGCTGGAAACATCTTGCCATTGCTTGAAAGGCCAAATCCAACCCATCCTAAAAATAACATAGTTTAAACATTAACATTCATAACGATAAAAACTAATAATATTTACTTCGGTACAAAACAAAATTCATTTGATCTTTTGTCACATATTCATTAAAGCTCGCGCTAAACATTCGGTATTTTTCATTCCTTGGTGTATTTTTAAACAAACAAAAATCGGAAAAGAACAAAGTCTACCTTTTGTTTTTACATGCAGTTCAAACGTCACGTGAGAGTCATTAAAGTTCCAGAAGAGTAGATAGTTCCCATGTGCGTCCAGCTCCAAAGCATTGTCGAAATGTTCCGTAGTTCTAATTCCAGGAAATTTCGAACACCACGCGAGACTCACAATAGCCGAAACAAATATTATTGTTTTCATTTGCATGTTCGAAACAAATCATCATTTATCTTTTTCGATTGGCCTCTTTTATATGTTACCATAAGAAGTTTGTAACTGAGGCCCAGTAAGGCACACATTTTCACAATGCTATAATATACGTGTTTACAAGCCATGCTAAGATGCAAATTTGCATAACTACAAACACTTTTCACCTTATGAAAAGTAAGGATTTTTCTGATACTATAAAAATATATTTGCAGATTTTTACTTTATTCCTTTGAAACTTGTTCCCTTTTTCTGATAAGAAAAAGGGCAGACATTAAGTGTGCTTAAGAGTTCAATTCTTGTCAAAATATGAAATACCACGAACATACCATGTTAAATTATGACGAAAATTAGTAACTGTGAAAATAAGTATTGTGATAAATCTTAATACAACAAACAACATGTACAAATTTAATATTGCCGTTTGAAAAGTGTACCGAATGTTGTCTAGGCAAAATGTTTGGTGCTCGTTATATTGTAGTTATCGATCATAAGATCAGTTTAAAGAATTAAACCATTACAAAAACTCATCATTTTACGCTAAAAGGAATTTAAAGCTCAGACTTTTTCCTTTTTTATTAAATCTTTAGACTGCTGAAAGCAAGTAAGTATACCTATACGACCAGAGCAGACCAAGATCTCAAACAGCACCTTTATGTCGTATGAAAATGGTCTGCACGGTTCCCTGTTCAGTCAGAAGATATTTTAAAATGTTCCCTAAAATTATAAATGGATGATGCATAAGTCCATTTAATTTATAAGGGTGGGAATGGTTCAAATACTTCATGGAGAAATATCAAATAATCATTAGAATATGTTTACAGAAATGCTGATAGGGCCTCAATGAATGCTTAACAGCATGCGCTAAACGTAGTACTTAACATTTCAAAATACACTTCAACACCTTGTCATGTTGACTTATAGCTAAAATTAGCGTCTGATAGCATTGAATATGTCATACATTTTCACCGTGAATATTTCAAAATGACATAATTTTGGTTCCCGTTGAGAGATGGCTCCCGTTGAAATCCGTATGGTAAACGTTATAACTGAATTAATGTCCCAATAACATTGCATAAGTTGGAATTTAAGATTGTCTGAGAATGGATAGTGACTATCGAATTGCGATTCAAATATTTTACATATAAACTTCCGTCTTATAACAAAAAGTTTGTAAATTAAAAAGTAGTTTTTTTTGTTCTTTTTTTGTCATATTGATTGGGTCAATAATAATTTTCATTAAAAGTTTTGTCATAGAACAGAGTAAAGGATATTAACACATTGAAGACCATTAGAAGAATGATTATTTGCAAAGGAACGACAATGTAATTGATCATTATTATAGAAAATTTTATGGTATAAATGTATCTTATCCCGATACATATTATTTGCATTCTAAAATCTTTCTCTTAAGCGTTATCTTTAGTTCATACTTTGTAATGTACTTGATTTTTTGTCAATGTTATAACCCTCAGCAAGACGTTGTCCTTGTTATCTTGCATGTCCCATTTTCAATGACATTGATTTCGAACTTTAAAAATAAAGCAGGTAAATGTTGTGCAATATTCATTTTATAACATCGTATGAGGAAGCTATTATTATTACAGTTGTGCAGATCGTATAAGGTTCGCGAGTCAAGCACTCCCCACTATCCCCTTCCCGCACATGTGGTTGATACGTTTGGGTCTTCCTTCAAGAACAAACCCGCATGCAGCCGTATGCTATTATTGTGTGACATACTCCCTTACCCTACATGTCACACACCGCTTACTCCGGACTCAATTGAACGAAGTAGAAATACACTTTCAGTGTAAGTTGATTTTATAATTGAGTTGTTGCTTTTTTATTCTGCTTTTAAGTAAAACGTTGATGTGTCTATCTATCGACCTTGAACTTTTTCTAAGAAGTTAAAGCAATTATAACATCTATGTATAATATAAAATATAAACGAGCTTATTTAATGCTAATCGGCTTTTAGAATTCAAAGCGTGACATGACATTTAGACAAATGTAAGACAAATACTTTGAGCTACGGATTGGGCTTTACGTTATTAAGTCATGTCTCTTTTTCAAGGACATTGATTTCGAATTTTGAAAATAAAAAGCTATGATGTTGTGCTTCAGTTATTTTACGCCATCATATGAGGAAGCTTATATAATAACCATTGTGTGTCTCGTGTGACCCGGCTTCCGCACTTGTGATTGATACGTTTTGGCCTTCCTTCAAGTATGATATTATTGTGTGACTTAGACTACCTTATCAAAAATCTCACATATCTCTTACTCCAGAATCAATTGAACTAAGTTAATATTTTCTGTCAGCCTAAGTACATGTTATAGGCATTGATTTTTTTTTAATTGTTGTAAAGGAAAACTTTGATATATTTATCTTCCATTAATATCAAACCACTTGCGAGGTCGTAGATTTGTCTGCGTGTCAAAATCGGAAGAAAATTTAAAATAGTTGTTTGAAAGAGGATAAAAGAAGAACATTTAATATATGTTGATGAGTGTCACTAAAAACTTTAGCGTCGGCGAGGTTTAACTTGGTTGTGTCGGGTTGTATATGCTTATGGGCTACATGAAGATTTCTCTTTTAAACTGCTACAATCTCTACAAATTTAAAATAAAAAGACACACAAGCACTGTTTCATAATAACTCAATATCAGGCGATACACTTCTTTAATTAATATCTTTATAAAAAAAACTTGAAGGGTAAGGACAGTAGTTTTCGACTTCAGATATCATTCTATACAAATCAGAACTTAACATTTTGATACACGTTCACCACATTATCTTCCGTGAAATAACATCTTGCTTATTTGGTTTCTTTGTTGTTTTTTTTTTTCTTTTTTTCTTTTTGTTATAAAGAATAAAATGTTTATCCCTTAAAAAAGAAATCAGTTAGCTGTATTTTCTATCCGATAAAGTTTCTTGAGGAGACATCTTAACGGTATTGGAAGATCTTGCAGAGAATGTTAAATCACCACTCAGATCAGGAGGCCAACTTTTTGTGTTACCCTTTTCCATGATTATGATTAAATGTGTGTCTAAAGCCACTGTACATGCCTTTTTAGTATATTTTGCTTCTTTTTCGTATGTCAGAGAGTACATTTTCTTTAAAAAAAACAAACATCTACCTATATCTTTGATAAAGCGTTGAACAGTAATCAATCCTTAAAAAATTAAAGCTAGAGGTTATAAAATAGAAATTCTTTGTAAATGAATTGAAACATATAATTATTTGTATTAGTGAAACTACACTCTTTTTTTCTTAATCGATGTACATGTTTTGTTTGAGAACTGATTTTGAGACAAAAATAAATCCACGATAATTTTGATATCAGAAGTTGACATATTTTTCGACCTTGATATTTTTCAAGGAAGTTTTTTAGAGACAGCAATTATAATGTATAAAGTAGAATATAAACGAGCTTATATAATGGTAATCGGCTTTTAGAAAGCAAACGTGACATGGCATTTAGACGAATGTAAGACAAATACTTTGAGCTTTTGATTAGGCATTACATCACTACTTTACAGCTTATGAGATCTATTTGATGTATATATATTACGGAGAAGAGTAACTGTAAAACGTTTGGAATAATGAGCTACCTAGCATTTTTATTGTGTTAGTTGCGAATTGGAAAATCTTTATTTTTATTAGTTTTAAATTCGTTCGACATTTAGTACGTTGTTTCATGATTACATAACACATAATATGATAATTACATCGAGAACATGTACAGGAAATGTGTTCTACCACTAAATCAATTTCATTTCCCATTCAAATGAGCAACTGATTTAAAGGGTGGGGGATTCTTCCACAAACTTTACATTCCGTAACTAATAGAATTACCGCTGGCACCATATCTTGTTCAGAGTCGGTATATACCGATACAACGCCGCACTAATAACTGGTACTTGACATAACGTGTTCAATACCTACGTAGAAATAAAGATTGTTCTGAACATATTAATTCATCTTTGCCTTTAAAAATACTATTGCAAATATTGGGTGACACCATTTTAAAACTTATTTAAGCCAGTAAAATGGATTTTTTACATCAGAATTTTTGTCGATCAAAGGTAAAATATTTAATTTATAAATTAACGTGTATTTAATTTGTACTCATGAGCTAAATAAAAAAAATCATATTCGAATAATAGGATTGATTTATACAGTTTATATAAGCGTTTAAATACACGGATAAGAAATAATCGTGTCAATTAGCCGCTCTACTACCTAAAATTTGAGAGAGAAAAATGTACCATAGTATTTTTTGTGCGAGTTCTCGGTTGGAGTAAAAATCCACACAACAAGCGTCTTTAGATATATAGATATAAGGGAAGTAAATGTGTATGCAATCGGTGAAGTTATCTATTACAGTTAACGCCCTTATTTCAAATCTAGCTATGAGATAAAATAAATATATTATATCTTTGTAATCATTATTCAATACCATGACAATATAATTAAATAAGATATTTAAAAGTTAAAATAAAGTTATGAAATTAATGTGTTATTAATTTAATCCACCACCATCACACGATTTTATACTTTGTTCATGTGTGTTATTCACGTATTAATGTAACGATTCATAATTTAAATTCAGTTTATCTTTATGGCAAAGGTCAATACTGATAAACGGTAACAAAGTGTTAAATGGGGGAAATAACGTGTGTATCAACTCGTGCCTGTTTGTTTTGATTTATTTGTAATTTCGTGGTGTAATGTTTGCACGTGTATCCCACATTTTAAAGTGCATTTTAGTGATTGGTATCGCAAATTGATGACGCATTTAAGTAGTCCACAGATTTTTTATTGGCCCGAATATCATCCTAATACTGAATGCACAAAAAGAGTTGTTTTCCGACAATGACACCCAATTGTTATACTTATGTGATCAGAGACAAAATCATCCACATGCACCATTTTAATATACTTGCATAAATATGAAATTAACGGATAAAAAAACATGCATTGCTCTTTTTTGTGCAATAAAATCTGTAGAAGACATCGGGCTCATTCAGTTCCTCACCCATCGGGCTTTTAAAGTTCGGCCGCGAGCTTCTGCAAATATGTCTTTCATATGTAGCACAATAGTCTTATCACACAGAAAAAGTACATTGGTCATGTAGTTTATCTTAATACTATGTTTACTCCCAGTCACATTTATGTTTCGTTTCGTTAAAAGGTTGACTTTAACACTGGAAAGAGTTAACCTGAAATTTAGTTCGAAATATGTCACAATTGGTAAGGGTGAATAAGGTTGAAAAAAACCTTCTCCAAAGTAAATTATGTTTGCATGATATATTATTATAATGAAATTATTGTTAAATGTATGAACTGTTCGTCATAAAGTTTTGTATATGTATGCCTCGTGGGCTTTTAAGCCTAATGGTTCTGATTAAAACAAACTTTATAATATATTCAGTTTTTGATTCACTTTTAATATTTCAGAATTGGCGCAACAATAACAATTTGTTGTTGACGGTTACACAATTAAGGACTAGCAATAAGACGGGTATTTAAGCTGTTAAAATGGATCCGTTACCGTACGTTTGAAAGTGTAGTTATTCCTTATTAAAGTTTAAATATTCTTCCTTTATTATGTTTAAATAATAAATACTAGATTTATGCTTTTATGCCCTAGTATCAATATCATTGTTGTCATTTATTTTTCAAACGAATATACAAGTTACCAGTACTTTGTCCGGGTATTTGTGTGTTTCATATTAATATTATTAAATGAATAAAAAATACAATACGCATGTATTGAAGTTCTCACGAATAAATTGCATCCTTTTGACCAACGAATCGACCAGGATTTTATTTCATAATAAGAAAGCCTGTGAAAAAACATTTTGAAATTCGACTTTTTTAATTCAACGGAGAATAATGCGTTTTCTTAGTTTAAGGCTACCGATCGGAGTTACCGCCCTTTATAATTATTTGTCAAATATTTGTTAAAAGTTAACAGTTTCTGTGATATCTTTATCATGTAAAACAAATAAAAGCTAAAGATACATGTAAAAGATAAATTCTATTGAATAAATACAACTAAAATGAATTATCCAACGATTATTAGGTTATCAGTTTAATGTATTATTATTTTCATAGTATCAATTTATACAAAACCGATACAAACACAAACTGCATTTGATGTACCGGTCATTTATCAACATACTTTTGAATCAATTATTACAATTACTAACATGAAATGACTACAATGCAATTTGTTAACAAAACAGGATAAAATCTTATTATGCGGATATAATCACAAATGAACAATATGATACTGTCAGTTTATCAAACATACTAACATAAAATGAATAATAAATAAAGCAAAAAGAAATTTGGCATAAAATTGTACTGCTGGTTATTAATGGTGTTGTATTTTCGGGATATCTTACACCGGTATAGACCGGAATATCTAGCTCGAATGTAACTGTTTACGGCGGTAACGAGGCTCTGCGCCGAGAGCTAGATATTACTGTCTGTGACGACAGCCGGTGTTTGATTCTTTTTCTTGCATATTACAAATTAATGATATTTACGATAAGAAATTACGAAACTAATATTTTCAGTTAGCATTTTTTTCTTTTAGTAGCGTATAAATTTACAACTTCATTCATACCGACACAATGACGTCATCCTTAGAACGCAATTAATTCATAAAAGGCGCGTGGAAATGACGTAATATAAAACACATGACTTGTCTTACATGGGAGTGTAAGAAAGGGTTTTCTAGCACCGGTGTAAACAGTAGATAATCCTGTCTTCTATGCAAAAAAAAAGAATATATGTTTTATTGGGGGGGATTTTTGTGGAAGAATGCATCATTAGAATAAATAAATTATACGAAAAATATAATGCACAAATGAAGTCGTATAAGTAGCTTTTAATTACTTATCATTTTGTATAGAAATAATGGGAAGGGAGAGTTATAATTTTCATTAGCAAATATGTAAAAATAACAAGCTAAAAGTTTGAGTATTTACAATTTGTTGGAATGCGTTTAAAGAGTACAAATACAATGTACAAAGAATGCAACATTAATATAATAAAGAATTACACGGTGATAAATTAATCACTAAACCACCGCATTAATTTTTACGTAATATAATATGTTTATAAGCTTTTTTCAGAATCACACATTGTCAATGTAAAAAATAGAAAAAAATTCAGACAAATATATAATTCATAAAAATAGTAGAAACATTTAAGTGTTCATCATCCTATCTTTATACAACAAAAGCTCTGATACATGTATGTGCTGTTGCATATTATATCACATTATATAACTCGTTCATACATGCTAATTAAAACAGAAGGCTAAACCAAAGTCTCTCACAAACTTCGCATAAGGAACATATCTTTTTGATTATTTTCATATTGCAGCATAATATATATCTATTGTGAATGTTATTAAAATAGCAGAAGAAATATTCTATTAGTTATTTGGATTTGCAGCATCATCATATCTGTATGAATGTGGCTGTGGTGTAATTTCTTCTTCATCATTCAGCGCCCTGTCTGCAAACGTAAGGGCTACATTAAGAACACATTCTTAATCAAATACACATTTACAACGCATTGCTAGGTAACATCTTTCACATGTGTCTGCTTTTAACAAAAGTTTAAACTTAAACCATATAACTATTAAACGAATTTAGTGTTTTCCCTGTATTTTCCTTTGTCAACAAGTTATACCTATTCATACATATTTAAAAATCATTCTTTTTAAACTTTTTAATCATATATTTGGAATTTCTTTATCTTCTATACATACATTCACAATTAAAATGACAAAAGTAAAACAATTTTAAATCATAAACAAATAGTGCTTTAAAGACATAAACACGGTATCATCAACGTGTGGTTGCTTTTTCTATTGTATAGACAGTAAAAGCAAATTTCAAATAATGATTCAACCCCTTCAACAAATTAACAGATGAGCATTAGTAGACAAGCACACCATTTGCCGCTACTGGTATGTATTGGTTATAGCCTGATTTATCTGGCAACATATCGATGCCTTAATTCATTATAGTTTATTGTCTTTTACGGATAACCAAGGAATATATTGAACATCGAGTATGTACTGTTTAAACTTACACGGAGCTTCAGGGTTCTGCTTGCAAAATCGCCTGACCACAAAGATGAGGGCAATAATAAACACAACCCCCCCCCCGGGCTAAAAAATACCTGTTTTGTAAAACCCCTTTTTTGCAGCAAAACCCAAAAAATTTAAACAATTCAAAAGCCAAATTTTTTTAACACGATTTTGGACATACTATGTATTTACAATTCCTTAAATCTATTTCATCGGAAAGAATGATTTATTTTCAAACTATTGTTGTAAAATTACTTTCCATTTTTGAAATCTAAAAACAGGGGAAATTCATGAGGAAACAAATCCCCTTTTTTGAATCATTGAAAAATACAAATTTAGGAAAGTCACGCAAAAGGCAAACTCCTCAAAAGACTTTTAATTTAACCTTTTTTGATGAATTTCAAAATAGCAATATTAAAATGTAGTTATTTTTGTACAAATAAAAATACTACATTTAAAAATGATGTTTAAATACATTTTGTTCCCATTTACATAATATGCGAATGGAGGCTTTTTTTTAAACCGAAAAAGCACAGGGCGAGAGCTTTTATTTGTCCGAAGGCTTTTGCAGATGTTTATAAACAAAAACGCAGAGCGAGGGATTTATTATTGATTTAATAGGTATCTTTTTTTCTGATTATGAGACCGGTTCCATCAAGTATTTAACTTGCTTGCACGATGCAATTTTACAGTTATATAAAAACAATTCGGCGCGTGTTCGCGTTTAAGTATACGTATACGTTTATGCCTTTTCTCCTCCACCAATGCAATTTTTATGTAAGAATAAACATGTTGACACGAAATATTGACGCTCAGATATATTACATGTTTCAAGCACAAGAAACAATAATGAAGATTACATTATATGAAAGTGTTGAAAAATGGCCTAAATTTTTGTTATAACTTTATTTTATATAATGTATTGTACTCCAACAATAGGAAAAATATAATGCTTTTTTTAGAAAATAATGATTCCATATCAAAAACAAGGTTATGAAAGTTTAATTACACTTAGATTATTGAAAACACACATGCATGAATTACATGATACACATAAAAATACATGAATCGTTTATTCTGATATTACAAATAAATTAGATAAAACTCACCTTGTGTAGTGAATGATACCTCATTAGATTTTTTCGCTTCACCTCTTGCATTTTTTGCAGTTAAAGTGATTACGTACTGAGATGAACTCTCTAAATTTTCTAACTTAAAATGAGAACTACCCCCTTTACCATCTGTAGAGTCTTTTATTTCCTTTACATCTGAATGAGGAATTCAATGAAGTTTCATTAAATGATATTCTTAAAGTTATCTTTGATTCAAAGTAAAGTCAACATGCAAAATAATAACAAAATATATCTTTATCTTGATTTAAAACGAGCGTAATAAATATTTCTTTTCAACATAGATGCATGCATCATCTATACTATCAGATAGAATCAAATAGTTCTAGCTAGGTCCTTTACATTTAAAATAAAAATAGTACTAGTAGTCATAAAGAAATTACAAATATTTTACTTAAGACTTCACAATCTTATGAAAAGCTACGGCAACACCTAACGTTAGTCAAATATTTTTTTTTTCAAAAAACTACACATGATATAAGCATATGATTATTGCAAATAAATCTTATAATCAAATATCATCACTTACTCTGTAAAGCTTTATTATTAACAGACCCCTGTACTTGAAAGGTTTGCGAACTTCCATAGTCAAAACCAGCTTCCCAGTGTAGTTCCACAGAGTCAGCAACAACATCTGTACACGACAGTTGAGTAACGCTGTCTGGAGGACCTTTGTAATTATCCAAACAAAATTCTAAGACATGCAATCCATTCAACATTTACAAAATTTCTGTCGATACTAACAATGAAAAATAAAAACTAGGTTAAAACAAATAATTTGTGTAAAATCTTTAACTCAAGACTGATGACAATTTACGAAATCGTTATGGACATTCATCATTTTTTAAAGTAACGTTACAATCTTTTGTTTTTATATTTCAACAATAGTTACAGTACTTACCGTCTGCTTTGATCGTGAATGTATAATTTTTACTCCCAATCGTGTTCTGCATATTTAAAATGTAGTTTCCATAGTCGTCTTCAGTGACATTTTTTATTTCTAATTCTGTAAAATTATCGTGATCTGTATGTTTGACAGGTGAATTGTTGTGCCACCATGCAAACTTCGGTAGAGGGTTTCCAATAGCATATACTTTAAATAATGTGTTCTGGCCAAGACGTGGAGCGTTCGTGTTATTAACTGGAACATTTGGGTCAGGCTCAGGGACACCTTAAAATAAATTTTTGAGATATATGAACGTTAATCTATGAGAAGCATCTGGAGAGAAATGCCTATTCAATGAAGACACTTGAGGGATACATGGAAGAGCTTCATGATGTGTAGGACTAGACAATATACACTTTTACATCATTAAGATAAATTACTGTTCTTATGCATGTGCAAAGAAAAAAATTAATACAATAACTATGTTTGAAGTTTCGAGATTGCAATTCATTAGTTATAAATAATTTCAAATTATCGTTTACTCTGATCTCCTGTTTTTGACGATTGATTTAAAACTTAAAAAGAACCATATCATATGAAAGAATTTTTTGGTGTAAGATGAAATTTTATTTCATCGAGTAAGCTTTAAAAGCAGTATTCACAAAAGTGGCGTAGCATGTGCATGTGGAAGGATGTGTATTTTCTAGACTGTTAAAATGAAAAAAAATAGAGACGATATTTGGTGACTGGTAATTTTAATGAATTGAGGTAAGTTTTATCTTCTTTATTACTTTTGAAATTTATTTGAAAAGTTATTTATCAAGTTCAGGTTTAGTTTGCTTATCTCTAAACTGCCTTGATTTTCTAAGCAAAAAAAAACAACATGTAACCACCAGGGATAAATCTTTGAAAAGTAGTCTCTTTATTGAAAAGTATGAAATTATATTTTGATAATTTTCACTGTGAAATTATCAAATATAATTTTCACGGATAAATCAGTAATACACTTAAAAGTTTTACAATAACAGTTACCTTCTGTCATAAATGATGCACAATTTTCAGACGGTCGAGAGCTGCCATTACGGTTCTTTGCTACAATTGTTAAATTGTATTCTGTGTTCATTGTCAAATTGTGCAGAGCAATACTGAATTTCTTTTGTCCAGGATCGCCTTGAGTGTCGTTTACACTGACAAGTTCTATAAAAATATGTTAAAGTTATAATTCCGATATATTGACCAGCATTCAAAGGTGATTCCTATATTAAGTTTATATTAATTTCAACCTTTAAATTGTTGAAGTTTCAACAGAACAAACCATTTTCAACGATTCAGGTATATTGGCATTGTCAAAACAGACATAAAGTTTTCTATTTTCTAACAAATAATGACTTGTAGTAAACAGAGATTATAAGCAATTAGTAAACATTTTATTATAAAAGGTCTTTTGAAAAATAAAGCTTTTCTGATATTGTGAAACCTTTCTAATTTGAGTAACTTATTTTATCAATATGTAATTTCTACGTTTGCTATTATTTTTTTGTGCACTTAGAATTCAAAAATTTCATAAACAAACCCTTTGTCTCAATATCAGTTGTGTATTAAAAACTTAATATGACGGTAAAAGTAGCGGCTGTCTAAGCTTATTCAAACCATTTTCATATTAATGACAATGTATTTATTTTTACCTGTAGTTTTTCCTTTAAGATATCGCATCACAACAAAGGTTTGCGTCTTATTGTAATCATATCCAGTAACGAAACTTAAGATGGCAGATGAAACGGTCACCGTTGATATGCTGAGATTGGCAACAGGATCAGGTGGACCTTATACAAATAAAGAAACATATACAAATACACGCCTATTTAAAAACACAATTGGATCTTAAAAAGTGCCAAATAATTTAAGAACTTTGATACATTTCCTATATAAAGAGATACTTACTTTTCATAGTACAATATATTATTGTTTTGTGTTTCATATGTGATTTCTTCAGCTACTATTTTTAATTACATTTATTGAAATATATGACAACAAAATATTCATTTGAATATTTTAATAACATACGCTCGTGTTATTTTAAAACGACCTTAAACCATTCTTTGAAAAGGTCTTAATACTTCTCCGACGTTTTGAAAACCTTCGTAATATCGTCAGTTTAAAACATTTAATACCTTACACATTTATTACTAAGACTTTGAAAATAATGAAATCTTGTAATGTCAGAAGTATTTCTTACCATCCGCCAATATCTCGAACATTCTGAGAAATGATCCTACTTCGTTTGAAACATTAAGTAAATATTCTCCAAAATCTTTTACTTCAAAATTCTTCAACTCTACGGCACTACTTCGGTTTGTGTCAATACTGTTGATATGTTTGTTGTTATGAACCCAGGCAAAGCTTGGAGGAGGATAACTAATGACATGAATGCTTAATGTTACAGTGTTTCCTAAGCGTGGTTTAAACGTTGTATTACTTGGATGGTCCGGGTCTGGTTTAGGTTTTCCTAAATGAAAATAAAAATCTTAATATAGTATTTTAAACATTTGTGTTAGACTTCCTTTAGTTATGTAGCAATAAGTCGATCCATGTGCAGCTTAATTATGACACTTCAGTAACGGAATTGCGTTCAGTAATCGTAACATTTCTTGCATTGCAGTAAATGTAGCATATGTTCAAAAATCAGGCGTCAAACTCTCCACATTGATATATTTGAGTTATATAGTGTTTGTGGATAAACGTAAAGTCAATATAGTCAACAGTCAAAACAAAAGTCGCACACTAAATTCTAAACAACATGGCCGGGGTACACGTATATATGTTTCATACAACATACCTGTTTAGATTTAACTGAATGTTCATTTTATTTTTATTTTCCTTTTAGATATGTCTATGAACCAATGTTAAAATGATGATGTAATTCATGTTTACCGTATGTTGAAAATTTGACAGATTTCGGATTGTGTTCAGATTCACCACGACTGTTGTTTGCTACAACAGTTATGTTATACAGTGTATCTTCAAACAGATCACACAGCTCGCATGTAAAAGGATCGCCTCCATTTCCTGCTGTCATGTCCTTGCACATCTTCAGTTCTAAAAATAGCATGATACAATTTATATAAAATTATAGGGACATTTTATTATACATTGAATATTAATGTCACGAATTCAATTCAGGAAATATCATTAATTATTCTTTGAGCACTTTTGTATGAAATTTCGATAATCAGAGGACCGTCAAGACCTTCACAAAAGAATATATAGAATCATTTGTAAGCAAAGTATTTTTTCAAAAATAATTCCGTGGTAAAAAAAGGATCCCTGCTGTCAGAGCTAATGTTTATCTTTGTCACACTTTTAATACTTTAATATTTTACTATAAATATAACATGGGGCCTATACATTTTACATGTATTTAATATTTGTTGTTAAATTAGAATTTTACAAAAGAATATAACAACAATTCTATAAATGAAATAAAACGAGATTTAGATAATTATAAATGATTTCTTACGTTTGAAATGTCCATCAATATACTCATTTATAATAAAAGTTTGAGTACTGTTGTAATTATATCCAGTTGTAAAATGAACATGAGCACAGGTTAAGTTTATATCTGAAACAAATACATCAGAAACCGGTTCTGGGGGTCCTGGAAATGGAAATTAAGATAAATAAGGACAATAAAAGCATAAAGTTAACCATATATATAATAAAGAATTGTCATTGAGAATTGGAAAAAGTGATACTTATAGCTAGGTAGACTCAAATGCTTAAAAACCTTAATACACTGACTAGAACAGATAAATTTTCACTATCCCCAACGAAAATGAATGTAAAACAAATGAAATATTATTTTGTAAATTTAAGTATCGACAATTATTGCAAATATCTACTCATCTTTATTTTATTGTGTATTGAACATTCAAACGCGTATATCTCCATCATTTTATAAGTGTACATTGCAATCATGTAAACATTTTTAAACTATAGATTTTATAGCAAACATTGTAATCAAACAATTACCGTCTGCCAGTACTTCATAATCTACAGTGTACGTTCCATAGATATTGTTCATAGTGAGATTGTATATCCCAAAGTTGTCAACAACGATTGCCTCAAGGTCAACTATGCTGGTATCGTTGTCATCAGTGCTGTTTATCAATTTTCCGTTATGTAACCACGTGTAAGAAGGTGGTGGTTTGCCCCGAGAATGAATAATTAGGGACACAGACTCGCCGAGTCGTGGTTTAAAGGTTTTGTTTACAACAAAGTTTGGGTCCGGTTCTGGTTTTCCTGTAAGACAATGATAACTCCCCTTCATCCGATGATTCTTCAAATGTTAAAGAAACATTGAAACTACTTAAGTATAAGTCATAATTAGTAAAATATTTAATGCTATTGCATGCAAAATGTTTTAAGTGTTTAACGAAACTCCAACCTTTAACCGCTTAACGCATGTTTTAACAAACCAAATATAGATATATATAAATTTCTACCTTATGTTGACGTGCTTTAAGTATTTCTATTTCATTAGTAGTTTTAATGACATTTTCGTACCATATGTTTCGAAATTGACAAAGCTTGATGGCGCTGTTGAATTTCCCCATCTATTTCCCGATATAATAGTTATATTGTACAATGTTGACTGATTGAGATTCTTAATCGTCACAAAGAATGGCTTCCCACCACTGTCATCTCGTATGTCCGTTACATTCACGTGCAAATCTAAAGTGCAAAGGCACATTCTGTGATGGTATTCTTCAACAAGTTGAATTACTAAAAATCGATCATGATTGGCTTGTATGTGTTGCCAAAGTGATATATTGTGAAAAAAAAAATCTCACTGCTTATGAGGGGAAGAATGAATTTGCTGTTAGGATGAAAAAGAAACAATATTGTAAAACCTTATGAATAAGGTTAAGTTATAGAAAAAGCATCGAAACACGAGGCTATCTGACTTGTACGAGGGGGCATAGCCCCCGAGTATTAATCAGATTGCGAGTGATTGATGTTCTTTCTCTTTTGTATCATAGCCAAACATAAAAACACGTTCCCTGTTGTCACAATATGAAACCCAAGAAAAAAGTAACCAATGAACGAGCATCTGAATATGATATTTCTTTTGCTTTCCCTTTCTCTGTCGTCACAATAAGAAAACCCAGACAAAATAAGCCAATTAATGGACATGCTCTGGAGTGCGGGTAACTAATACCTGCAATCATGTTAATGTACTGTGCGTGTATATGTAAACGATTTAACTCGACACATTTTCAACAGAAAGGTCCCAAAACTATCATACATTTAAGTAATAGCTGTTTCGAAAACTATTAAGCTATAGATGCTGTGTGGAACCCATGCTTTAATTTAGTGTTGTTAAAGTGGCGTGGACATATTTATATTTCCCTGAGTTTTTTCTATTCCTCTCCCAGGATCCCGCTTGGACCATAATTATTTTATGATAAGAAATATTTGAAATGTTCACGTTGTTATATCGGTACATGTATAAAAATATCATGACAGAACTGTATATTCAATTGTGTTATTTTTATTTAACATTAGCGTTATGTTTTTACAATACCTTGTAACTGACCGTCCATTATTCTCATAATGTAGAAGAATTGCTCAGTATTGAAAGCATTGCCAGTGGTAAAATCTATTCTTGCCTCGCTAGTAGTGATACCATTTGCTTGTATTTTAGTCACAGGATCTGGTACACCTGAAAATATAAACGAAATGTTCATAGACACTGAAAAGACATCAGGAATATTCAAATGTGAATGCAGAAAGGAATGCGGTCTGAGAGTGAAATCCATATCCGTTTCTTATTTGGAAAACAATAGATAGCATAATACCTGACTATTAAAGCAACGATTTATTTATTTATTTATTTATTTGTTTATTTATGTATTTGTTTATTTATTTATCAAATTATTACAATTTGTTTTGGGTTATCAAAATATTCGGTCGCCCGTAAAAAATAACATGTATGTCGTACTGCGACATTGAGATTGATTTCCCATCAGCTTTTTACAAATGACATAATGCATTATGCTGACAAATAAAGTTTTAAATTGCATTAAACAAGCAGCCACGTTGAATTCATATCCCCTGTCGAATGACATAAGTCATTTGACTGAAACTTCGCAAAGCTATTTAAGTATCTGTAAATGCAATAATGAACGGATGTACATTCAGACGAACAATGTCAAATCTATATCCCTCGGTCTTGGACAAGGATAATATATAGAGCCAAAAGATATATGTGCAAACCTTCAATAAATAAATAAATCGTAAAGAACATTTGCATCGTGAAATCCGAGTTTGCCAGAATTTTTGTTATACCTTATTATGGAACAGGAGTATCTCATACATGTTGATTGGAACCCTTTCAAAATCGGAGAGATCATATTTTTTACAACATTTAAAAATGAATATCTGGTAAAACAGACGGACGATTAATCAAATATGTAACTGATCATTGGCCCAAAAGTATAACATTAATTTAAATAATGTACAATTGGATAAAAGTATCAATCCATATTAAGTAGCCTAGAAAATAAGACACTAAGAAAAACAATTAATCAAACTTTTTCTATCCTAAATCCCATAACCTTGCAAATGTAATATAAAAATAAGACCAACTTATTTTTCACAGGTGGTTTGATAAGATGCATATGGGTTTTAGACTCTCATGCACGTACCATTGTGCTAATCAGTTACATTTTACATTATTTCATATTGTGCTAACGTCAAACAATTTCGTCTTTTTGGCGTCCGCGCCGAAGCGCGGCGCCCCTTTATGGAATGAAATCAGATTTTGTGAAAGGGCGACAGCAACTTCTCGAGCCTTTTAGTCCGTCATAATAAAAGCCGATTATTCCGATCGGTATGAAGGTGCTTGATTATTAATTAATCCGTGGTACAATGAATATATCTTATTGTGAAATAAAATTGTTTCTCACATGCTACATAAATGTCCTCCGTTCTGGAATCCTCCCCAATACTATTTTCACATGTAAGAATATAGCGTCCAGCGTTAGTGCAGTTCATTTTTGCAATATTGATTGTGAAGTTTCCCTCCTCCGTTTGATTGAACCATACTTTACTATCAGATAACGACGTAAATGTAGTAAGAGGAGCAGGATTGCCCTCAATTCCAACATGCATCTTGTAAGTACCGTTTGGCTGAACTGTTGTTTGAACGACGTCTACAAATGTTATCTTTGCTGGATCTAAAGGAGAAATAAACATTTATACCCCTGTGTATTTATTTTTTTCATTATAGTTAGAAACACAATAAAAGCATAACTGCATGGCAACACTTTGTTCCCTTTTATTTACATTTTTATTTGTAATTCTTAGTTTTGGTTTATACAAAATCTATTTTAGTTCGGTTGTGTAGGAAACTATAAGCTGAAGGAGCATAGTTTCGAATCCGTTCCTGGAACCAACCAGTACTGAGCAATGAGTGTTAAGTTTCTTGCTCAAGGGAACAACGACTTGCCCCTGACGGGGTTTGAACCCATAAGGCTAACGATCATTAAATTACCAGTCCGAGGCGTGAACCACTCTGCCATGCCGCCACTCGAATTTTTAGTTTTCGTTTTGATTTTAGCGGTTAACCAACCGAAGGCTGAACCAAGCAATTTATGTTAAGCTTGCTCTTAAGTATATTTTAAAAATAAAAAAAAAGTTCTTTTAAAAAATATATATATGAAAGTGTCTAGAATTAAAAGTAAATGTTTCAAAACAGCAAACACAATGTACTTACATAAAACATCAAGGTAAAAAAAGTTTGTTATCACAGAGCTTAGTTCGTCATTGTCTTCTTCAGGTTCAGTTTTGTTAGTGTTCAAATTAAAGCAAAAGTATAACCCTAGGAACTCCCTTGTGACGTTTGTTAAATTTAACTGTCTACCCAATAATTCACCGTTTGGTGTCGTCCATGTTATCTGTGGACCAGTTAAATTACATGCCACATACAGGTTATCACCTTCATTGACAGTGATGGTTTCTTCATGAGAATTGAAATTTAAAAGTAAATGGTAAACCGTTACGTTCGTGAAAGTAGCTGATCAGTGAAAATAGTGATTTGTTCTAATTCGTTATTCTTTTATCTTTTTTGTTATTCTTCATTCAAGTGATTTCTAAGATTAAAATATTATTTTTAAGATTAAAATAATAATCATATAAAATTGTGTATTATGGTGTAGAAGAATTATTCAAAATTTAATCATATAATCTAGTCTCAATGCGAGTTTCACTGTTTACTTTTACAAATTTTGAGATTAACATCTCATTTAATAAGATACTTATGCTAGAAACATGTAATATTTAGATATGAACACACAAAAACTACTTGTGTATATAGATAAAATCTCAAATAAAGGAGTGTTTCACAACTAGATATAACATAATTGTTTCAAGACATAAGAACGTGCAATTTTAGGCTTTTTTACTGTATAAAGTGCACCCATAATTATAGATAAAAAAGCAAAAAAAATTCAAAATGTGAAAATAGATGTATAACCACTTTTTCAACACAGTTTTAGCTTTCAACAAATTGCTTAATGAACTAAATAAATCATTTAAAATGAATAATAGGGTAGCGTTTCATTACAAATGAGCGTAAATGTATTTAAAAATCTTCAATGGGATTCGAGTCTGAAACAGGAGACATGACAATTTTGCTTAACACGTAGTATTACCTGAAGATTCTTGTAATCCGTAAATAATTGATGATAAACATGAAGCTGCAATCACAAATGACAAAAACGAAAATAAACGCCCCATAATTTGGCGACAAGAAAACTAGGTTGCGTCTTTAAATCCCCTTACAAACACTTAAAACAATTTTTAACAGGGGGATCTCGCTGATTTCTTTTTATTCCGGTTCACATTTATTTATTATGATACTGAAACGGAAGTTCAACACTGAAATTTCAGTACATGCGAATAAAACAAAGTTCATTATCATAAGGTGATAACAGCAACTATCTACCGATAGCCGATAACGAGTTTATAACAGCCAGACCACCTCGAGTAAACCTGCCTTGTGATAAATTTGCGATAATTACAAATAGAGTGATATAACATTAAAATGAAACAAACACAAAAATTACATCTGAAGCTCAGTTCAGCAAATCATATCTGATGTAACATTATAAATCATGGATAAAAATATTTGTAGACTTTCAAAATTAGGATGTCTTACGAGTCACTTTTGAGAGCATTGCTCGTGTTTACCATATATATATATATATATAGGAAAACTTACTTATAATATGATTCACCAAATCAAAAGTTAGTAAACTATTATCAAATAGGAAGATGGGAGTGTACTTTAGATTGGTAGGGTCATTCACTTATGATTTCATCCACGATTTCAACTCCAGCAATTCATGGCTCCACATTTTTTATTAATTGATTGTCGATTTCAATTTACAATTTCTTAATTTTGCAAAGTAACAGTTGATTTTGTTGTGATTTGTTGTTTGTATTGTTTTTTTGTTGATCTTCATATGGGGTTGCAACCAGCTTTACTGGTGTTGGAAGACCTCAAGTGCCCCTTCATCATCTATTTCAGGCACGAACGAATTGTGAAAATTCGGAATTCGTGGATATATGAAATTGAAATTGGGAAAGTGTGAGTGTGATATTAAGATCCTTAACTAATTAAGTCGTTATCGCGAGTTCTTAAATTGGATTAAGTTTAAATATCCCCAATTGACTGTCGTAGGATTGACATAAGAATGATTGACATTTATTGTAGGACAATCTTGCTATGAAAAAGCAAGTTAAACTTGTATGTGTTGAATAGTTGGGCTGTAATTGTGTCAAATAATTGTCTGTGATCGCAACGAAACTGGCCGCTTTTTGTATAAAATGAAATATCCAGATTTCTTTACAAACTGGAATTATTATGAATTTTGAACAATAATGTTAGGAAACACCTTGTTAGATTCGTTTTGCAAATAAATTGTATACATGTGATCTTAACTATAATGGAGACATTTTGCTGAAATAATTATCTGAATCCAAACTTAACAGTTTTAATTTTTAATTAGTATTTATTCTTTTTTAATGCAATCGAGCTATTACATAAAGTTTGAATTTGATGCCTCTTTTACAAAGGCCAATAAGGAATGTTTGAATTTTTTAAAACATGTTATGTCTTTTATCGTCTAATTCATTATACAGAGTGCAACTGTTTGTTCAAAGTAACGAATATTTTTTCGAAGGTTTTAACTTTTAAAGTTAACTTACGAAAAAATATACAATAAACCCTTTTTGCAAATGTGCCCTGAATGCAAGGCATTTTCATAGATCGGTTTATTTCCATTATTTCACAAGTTTTGCATTCGCCTTTCTAATAGATTATTTCTGTGTCCAGCTGCATTCTTTCAAAGTACAGGTCACTTGCAATAAATTATACTTTTAAAAGTTGAAAGTTGATGTGAAGTTGACATATCAGAAAATATAGCATAAGTAAACAAACACCGGTCGAACCGGTGATGCTCCCCGAATAGGTTTTGGAAAGAGAGAAGTAGTTTGTCCATAAAGTGTTTATGTCCCTGAAAAGGGTCACAGGGCATAAACTCCAAAATTGGGCAAGGCAAAGTTACGTTTCTGTAACACTGCATATCTTTCTACTAAATGAGATCTATCTATCCAAGTTTCCTGTTGCTACCTGTTGTGTGTTGTCAGCGTTATTTCCCGGACAAAGTTTAAAATACAAATATAAAAAAGCAATTTCTCCACAATTAAACAAGGCAGCGTTACTGTCCTTGTGCACTGAACTTCTACTCAATGCGATCCATCTTGATACTAAGTTTTTTGTATGAATGAGTTTAAAAGAATGGCAATTTTAACAATAAGATAACAAAGATATACAAGTGACTGAACAATATTTTGTACCTGCGAATTTACTTCCATATTTTAGATGTAAAAGACCTTAACCGAGGACTTCGTAAGTCAGAAAATTAAACAACTGGTTTTAACATTCGTTTGTTTGTTTGTTTGTTTCATTTTACGCCTTTTCCCAACAGTATTTTATCATTCAATAAAAAAAAAGCACAGAATACTTTATCAACGTTTTCAAATGTGTTATGACAAAGTTTGTGCAAACGATATATTTAAGGGCAGTTTATTTTTAAACCGACTGGTAAATTCTTATAGGAACGTTGCTTGTAGAAACTCTGAGGCGAAAGCAAATTAAACCACCAAAAATATAGTCCAATGATATTTTTCTTGACGTGTTAGAATGGAAATAGATCTTGCTTTTGACTGCTCAGTGTTATACATATAGCACGGTTTGCCGTTTGGATGTTTCTAATTTATATTAAATTAATAAATGTGCATCTGAACTCCATACCGTACTATAATAACACAAATCACTAATACTCAAGATATGTGCCTGAATAGAGAGCAACTAAGTCCAGAGCCTATTTCAGTTTTTAATGCCAATGCAGCATTTGTGTGCGGGTGTGCGCGCGCGTGTGCCTGTTATATAGATTATATAGTGACCTGTGAACCATCAACTGGTCCAATTTCAACCAAACTTGGCATGATTGTTCCGTGGGTATAGGGCTTCCAAAGTTGTTCAAAGAATTTGAATATATGCAGAAATCTGGTTACCATGGCAACCAAAATGAATTAAATATATTATATATTATTCACGGAGAGAGTTTTCAAAAAAGCTCTACAAGCTTCCTACTCAATCCGTAAATTTTATTTTATGTACTTTATTATGTAAATGTGTGAATTATAAATAAAATATTGTTTAAACTAAATTATAAGAATAAATTAAAAATATCTTCTTGTAAAGACCCACTAGTCCTAGTCCTAGAGCATAGATATTTTGTATAAGGTAATGTCTAGTAGACCTCTACCAAGATTGGTCAAATTGTAGTCCTGGGATCAAAATAAGCCTCACCTAAGGGGTCATTGATTTTCACTATGTAAATATAGTAAACACTTATTGTCTGAAGGAACAAAGCTAAGACCTCTGATATATAGGTATATGATATATATCTCATTGCGTAGTGGACCCCTACCAAGATTGCTCAAATTAGCCCTTTGGACAAAATTGGCCCCGCACTGGGGGTCATTGATTTTTATTATGTACACATAGTAGACAAAAACTATATAACTTTTTCCTGAATAGGAGAAAGTAGAGCTTAGATATTTGACATGTCAAGATTGTTTGAATTTAACCCTTGGGTCAAAACTTTGCCAAAGGAGACAGTGACCTATATTCTTGCCTCTGATGTACAGCCATGAAATTGAGACCATGTGCACAGTTTGAGATGTAAAATTTAATTTTGATATCAGGTGACCTAGATTTTGACAAATCACCTTCTTTCTTGTCCTTTGATATACAACTATGAAGTTTGGACCATGTGCACAGTTTGAGATGTAAAATTGACTTTTATGTCAGCTGGCCTAGATTTTGATGATATGACCTACTTTCGTGTCCTTTGATGTACAGCTTTGACATTTGGACAATGTGCACAGATTTATATGTAAACTGAACTTTGATATCACATGACCTTGATTTTGAAAAAAAAGACTGATTGTCTTGTGATTTGATGAACCGCCATGAAATTTGGCCCTGTGCACAGTTTTAAATGTAAAATTGTACTTTTGTATCAGCTGACCTAAATTATGATGAAGTAACATCCTTTGGATTTATCTAAATACTATGGTGGCATATTTCTGCCACCAGATAACCTGATAACTAACTAGTTAATTAAGAGGTTAACTAGTTACGTAACTAGTTAACCTCTTAATTAACTAGTTAGTTATCAGGTTAACTAGTTACGTAACTAGTTAATTTTTTCAATAAATAAAAGATCATAACGGGAAATAAATGCCTGTTAGTGCCCGCAACTGCCATCCTTTTATTATATTATCAGCTTAAAATTAAGAGGTTAACTAACTTAACCAGTTATCCTCTTAATTAACTAGTTAATTAATAGGTTAACTAGTTACGTAAATACCTAACTAGTTAACCTCTTAATTATCTAGTTAGTTAAGAGGTTTACTAGTTAGGTATTTACTTAACTAGTTAAACTAGTTAACGTATTTACGTAACTAGTTAACCTCTTAACTAACTAGTTAATTAAGAGGTTAACTAGTTACGTAACTAGTTAACCCGTTATCAATTATCTATAAATAGATATTGCATAATATTTGGAATACCCGTACTGTACCATAATCCTTCTTCCGCATATGCGCGGGGTATGATTAAAATACGAAAATAGGGTTATGTTCGCGAAAATACCATTTTGACTAAATACGGAAAGCCAGGTTATTTATGATGAAAATAAAATTTTGATACAAATCTGAAAATATGAGTTTTGAGGTAGTGTTTTGGCTAAAATAAGGTAATTTTCTCTTTCACTTATATGCTTTATATGCAATTAATCATGCTTAGAAATAATTATTACTATGTCACATGATATATAAGCTAAATTAAACTTATCATGTAAAAAGAAACGTTATGTTTACGTTTCTTCATAAATATGTTTGAATCTTGAATCTTTGACTATGTTACACAAATACAACAGTTTGATTGAACGAAGAATAGTATGTTTAACATGAATTAATATGTTGACAGTCCCCTTAATATTCACAATTTTAACAAATTGAAAATCTTGAAAACAGTACATTATTATTTGATAATAACTGACTTTTGGTTTTTAATGTGATATTTGAATAGAAATAATTTATTTGAATTAACACCCGTGTTGATCTTCAAAACGCCGACGTGCTTATTCGTTTTTTCTCGGTAAGTTAAAGTATTATATAGATCTTATATGTTTGTAAAAAAGGAAAGGAAAAATCCAATTTTGTTGTCTGTCAAGTCTTTAAAACATGTTTTCTATTATATATTTCTTATATGCTAACTTCAGGCATGAGCGGCAAGATATTCCCTTGTTTATTGCACTTGTCTCACAGCATCGTGTTAATTTCCTGTGTATCTGTTTATTTGTCCAGT